ATTTTTTGTTTAGCTTTAGGTTCATCATTTTCATCAACTTCTTCAAATTGATGTTTTTCAAATGCATTATCATTTATTTTTAAATCTACATTACTATTATAAAATTCTTTAGTTAGACAAAGGAGTTTTTTGAGTTTAGTAATACTTGAATATATATAACTTATCATTGTATATTTTATACCCTTTAATTTTTCTGTTAATTCTGTAAAAGATTCTAAGATTTTAAGTAAATCTCTTATAGCATCCCACTTATCACTAGTAAGATTAATTTTTTTAACTTTTTGCATCTTCTTTGGTATTACGATCTTTACTTGTATTTAATAAAGAAATAACAATTTTAATATAAGATTTTAGAATTATTAATCTTTTATAAATATGCTTGACTAACATATTTCAACATTTGAATTGCCCTGCAAAGAAAAATTAAATAAGAAAATTTAATTTAATTAATAAAAATTAAACTTTTTTTTTATCAATATAATTAAATATTTTCAAAAATTTGGTTTTATATTTTTATTTATCATAAAAGTTTAATTGAATTGATTATACAATTAATTATTTAATGCTAAATGAAAGACGAAATCCTCTGCAAACTACAAACTCTAGTTATAAATATATAATTACAGTAAATTATTTTACTAATTAAGCTGTATTTATACTATTTAATATTTATAATGAAATAATTTATTTTTTTTTATTTTTTTATTATCGTTATTATATAATTATGTATAGTATAGATTTTTTATATATTTATAATATTAGAAACTATATAAGTATGGATTACTTATTATTAGAAATATATATGTATAGTCTTTTAAAGTATACGCATAATATATATATTCAAGAATAAGTTTTGGTATTTTTTCTTTATATAATTTTTGTGTAAAGAAATGAGGAAAAAGAAACTTCCAAAGAAAATGCAAAATTTTTCTATATACTCATCAATTATTCTATTATTCATGTATTCATTTTCCTAACTTACAATAACGGTTGTGAAAATAATTCTCCAGAGGTAGTTCAGATTGTTTATTTAATTGTGAGGTATAGTAAAGCATTTACTAGTATGTAAACTTTTGATTTGTACTTTTTTATTCAATTATGATATTTCAACTTGCATAATCTTGCTCTTTTCAATTTATGGTATGAATTAGATTTATTTTCTATAATTTTTAAAAAATAATTTTTTTTCTTTTTTTAATTCTCTTCTAAAATTAGCCAATAAAAATGAAGATATACATTAGAAACTTTAGATATTAGAGGTTGAAGTGCTCAAGATATAAGCTAATATAGTATTCAGATTAAGTAACATTAGAAGTTTTATAAGTGAAAGTATTTGTAGTTCAAAAATGTATTTAAAGAATGGTTTCAAGAAGCATGTCAAAAATATATTCATAAAATAGAAAGATCCGTATTTTTATATATTTATTTAGCAGCTATATAGTATATCAGAAAATAATCTCTCATGAGAAAATATATATAAAATATTAAAATTAGATATTCATCTATTGTATATGTTTCGTCAAGAAACTATTTCACAAAACTATTTTTGTAGTGTTAGATCAAAGGAAGAAATTATAGCAATAAATAAGAAGTGATGCAGGTTACCCTTGATTCTAATCAATAAAGTAAACATAAAAAGGCATGATTTTATGATAGGATTATAATTTTTAGTAAAGATGACATTATACCAAATCAAATAGATCAAAGAGTATAAGACGTAATATGAGTCAAAAAGAAAGAATTCAACAGATACGTCAGAAACTTATCAAATATAAAGGTTAACAGGTTTTTGATATCCTAATTAAGCTTAAGAGCATGTAGCAGAGAAAGCACTTAACGTATTATATGTTAAAAGTAATGAAAATATACGAATGGAAATTAAAAGAAGAATTTCTAGTATAATAGAAAATGTATTTTAGTAGCAAAAGGAATCTATAGCATAACATTATTCTGGTATTTTATATAATCATATTAATGAAAATAAATGGGATTTTATTAAGTATCAGTTTAGTAAATAGATAAAGAATCTGCTTTTTCTTGGCATCCTTAGAATATGGTAATTTTGACAAAATCTATTTTAACTATGTGAGAATTTATATTATGTTTATTCTTTCAAAATTTTATAATTTTGTTTAAATTTTAGTTTTTTTTTATCCTTTTGATCTCGCTTCAGCTGAGAATAAAGAATAATGCATTTATTATTCTTTAAATATACAGTCAACTTTTAATATAGCAAATTCTTGATATAACAAATTGTTTAAACAAATATAATAAAAATACTCTTGTTATAGTGATTTGGCCAATCAAATTTCTTAAAATCTTTACTATAGTCTTATAGCGAAGTTGAGGTCTAGGATATAGAGTTCATTATAACAAGAGTTGACTATAATGCATTTATTATTTTCTAGATACAATATTTTATTATTCATAAGATACAATGGTTTTATTATGTTTAAAAAATAATGTTTCTATCATACCTAAGGTACAATGCATTTATTATTCTTCTCATTAATTCTGATATGTTCATATTATTGACAATATTAAAAAATTATCAGATTATTAAAATTATATTGAAGTAAAATATTCCTCTTAATTTCTCTTGCAAATAGCAAAAGTTTTTTTTAACATATAAGAAATATTAAGAAAAATCTAAAACTAATATATGCACCTTTTTTTCAATTATATTTAACTTTATTTTTTTAAAAAATGGGGTGTGAAGACTTTTAATATCAGATGATAAGTTATAGTCCTAATATTTGTCATGTTATTATGATATATAATAATAATTAATTTTTTTTTTAAAATAAAGAGCAGTGAATATAATTTATTTGATAATAGGATTAATATGATATTTTCAAAAAGTATATGATTTAATGTAAAAGCTTTTTGTAGGCATATATTTTTCATAGTATTTATTATCACAACTACAAAAGTTGCGATTCACTTTAACAACCCTAAGGTCATTAACTAAAATATGGATCATATTTGATATGAAATACATTCACATGGTTATTATTATTTACTTTACTTAAAATAGCACCTTTTAAACTTCTGAAAATATGAATCTTTTATCAGTTTATAACCATTCAAATATATTGTTTGATTAGTTGCCTAGGTTATTCAATCTAATTTGAGAATTAATTAGAGTTAGAGATATCATTTTATGAAACCTATCAGATCAGGATTATGATTATGCAAGACTCAGATGATCAAATTTTTTATTTTACGTGATTTCGATAAGTTAAGCTTTTTTTAAGTGATATTAAAAATAGAATAAATTATAATATATAGTATTTGATTAAAGCTTTGTTATTATGAAGATAAAATATGGTGACAAAGCTTTATTCATTATGCTAAAGAAATATTTATAATACTAACTATATACCAGTTATTATTGATATACAGTAGTAATAGAAAATATTAATGATGTAATTTTAAAAAAAATTATTTAATAATTAATTCAATTAAATTATAGTTATATGAAACTGAATATTAAAATTTAGCCATAATGGCTAGAGAATTACAGTTATAAAAAAAATATAGATTATTAAACTATTTTTATTTATCAAAGCAACAAGTTTCAGTAATACAGGTTTTTTTTGCAAAACCAAAAGATATGATCTTAAAGCTAATACAGAATTTTATGAAAAAAGATGTTAAAAAAATGTAAATAATAATTATTAGTTTAGGAGTAAAATATCAGTCATCCTGAAGGAGTGACACAATATATCCTAACCAATAACTAGATTATTGTGTCAGCCACACTTTAAATTAATATTATTATAATAATAATATTTGAAAAAATATAAAAAGTCTATTATATTTGATATTTAGCTGTTGATAAAAAATATCAGTCCATCAAAATCAGCATGATCCTAATAAACTGACTAATAAATCATCTTATCAGACACGTCTTATGTAAATACTGAATATTTTTGACATATGTTATTCAATCACTATTTAATGTAATACACAAATTTTCATTCACTTCATATTTAAAATACATAAATTTTCGTTTATTTTACAATAAAATCATAGTTTTAAAAATTAATTATGGGAAATTTTTAAATTAATATTTAAACTATAACTTTATAAGTAAGTAATCAGAGGAAATTTAATAATAATATTATTATTAACAAAAGATAATAGTTTTTGACATTTTTCATAATAAGTTAACATTCCATAATAGGCTAATATTGGAGAATCTGAATGATAAGGTGGTTTAAAAGGTGCTATTTTGGATAGATTATAAAATTTCTTAACTTTGAGTTTTTTGAATTGTAGGAACTGAATTTTTTAAGTTGTAGAAAAGTCAATTATTTTTGACTTGTCATTAGATTCATTTATTTCTTGATCTTTTGGAACTTGAATTTCTTGAACTGGAGTTTCTTGAGTAATTTGAGTTTTTTAAATTATTATAAATATTTTAAAATTTAAATTATGTAAAGTAAAAATATTTTAAAATCTTACATTTTTCATCATTTGTATTTTTATTAGAAGATAAATTACATTCATCTAATAAAAAAGGAATCAACATCACGATATTTAATATTTATTGATCATCACTAGTTTTGCAATAATCTGCTAAACTTTCATGAAACTAATGACTAGAAAATGATTGTAAATCTGAATCAGAAATCCCATTATTTTTCAACAAGAATGGTTTGTAATTTTACGTTCATTATTAAGATTAATTTCAGTATATACTACAATATCATTTATCATTTTTCTAAGTTTTGTATAACTCATTAAAGTATTTTTAAACCAATTACCCTTTCATAAATTTTATATAAAAATGATTAATAATTAAATTATAAGAATAATAAATATATTAAATATATTTATATTATATATTATAACATATCTTTTTTACTTTTACATGTTTCATGAAATAAAGAATCTTGTAGTGAAGTTGAATGTAGCAATTTAGATATAAATAAAAGAATATCTTTTATAGGTATATATTAATTATCAGATGAATCATAAGATATAAGAATATGTTATGAACCTGATTTTCCATGTTTATTTCTAAAAAAAGTACCACCCTGATTATTTTTTTCTTTATGTAATATAAGTTCTAGGCCTCTATCCTGATGATATTTAAGATCTTTTCTACAAAGTTTATATATATCTCTACCATATAATTCATATAATAAATATAACTAGAAAAAAATTCAATGTGTAAGTAATTCATTTGAATTAATATTTATATATGAATGATTAAGTATTTATTTAATTTTTTTAGCAGACAATCCATCAGACTTTTCAGGATCATCTAAACTTTTGTTTTGTAAGATTCTCATTTTTCATTTAACATATGAAGAGCATGAAGAAATTTGTAATGATCCCAGATTTTTATTGGTTAAAGAATGCTATATTTTTTAAGATATCTATTCAATACACTATAATAGTTATGAACAGATTCAACCTTATAATCAGAACTATCTTCTTTTTACAACTATATAATAAATTAACAGAGATAATTTTCTAGATCTTCTATAAAATCTATTTGTTCAATAGAATTAATTTTTGTTAAAATGATCAATAACTCTTAACCATTTAGAAGTATTTCATTCAGTATTTGAAATAAG